CCTGCCCCCACACCATTTTATGTTTTTGATGTCACAATTTATATCTTTTAATCTTGTGTATCCCTTAACAAATCATTGTAGTTGTAGTTATTTTTATTACTTTTGTCTCTTAACCTTCATACTAGCTTTATAAGTGTTAATCCACTACCTTTACAACATTAGAGTATTCTGAATTTTACTATATATATGTAAAGGTAAATATATTTTGACCTTTACCAGTGAGATTTATACTTTCATATGTTTCCCTGTTTTTAATTAGCACCCTTTCTTTTCAGTGTAAAGAAGCCTCTTTAACATTTCTTGTAAGGCTGGTCTAGTGGTGGTGAACTCCTTTAGGTTTTGCTTGTCTGGAAAACTCTCTCTCTCTTTCAATTCTGAAGGATAACTTTGCTGGGTAGAGTATTCTTAACTGGAAGTTTTTTTCTTTGAACACTTTTAATAAAACCATTCCACTCCCTTTTGGCTTGCCAAGTTTCTGCTGAAAAATCAGCTGACAGTCCATAGGGGTTCCCTTGTATGTAACAAGTTATTTTTCTCTTGCTGCTTTTAAGATTCTCTCCTTGTCTTTAACTTCTGACATTTTAATTATAATGTGTCTTGGTGTGGGTATCTTTGGGTTCCTCCTATTTGGAACTCTGGGTTTCCTGGGTTTGGATGTCTGTTTCCTTCCCAAGGTTGGGGAAGTTTTCAGCCATTATTTCTTCAAGAAGTTTCTGCCCCTTTACCCCTCTCTTCTCCTTCTGGGCCCCTATAATGTGAATGTTGGACCACCTCACATTGTCTCATAAGTACCTTAAACTATCTTCACGTTTTTTCATTCTTTTTTCTTTTTGCTTCTCCACAAGCAAAGTGGGTGTGTTCCACTGCCCTGCTTTTGAGCTCACTGATCCTTTCTTCTGCTTCATCTAGTCTGCTACTGAATCCTACTAGTATATATTTTCCAGTTCAGTTATTGTATTCTTCAGCTCTGTAACTTCTATTTGGTACTTTCTTATATTTTCTATCTCTTTATTGAAGTTCTAACTGTGTTCATCTATTCTTCTCCCGAGTTCAGTGTGAGCATCTTTATAACTATTATTTTGAACTTTTTAATAGGTACATCACTTATCTCCATTAAGGACTTTTTATAAGGTTTTATCTTGTTCTTTCATTCAGAACATATGTATCTTTCTTCATTTTGCTTGACTCTCTGTGTTGTCAAACTAGATAAAACAACCCTCTTTCCCAATCTTGAGGGAGTGGCATCTTGTAGGAATGAACCTTATCTTTCAACACTGCCCTAGCTCTTGCTTGTCCTTCAAACCACTGTGATTGTTCAAGCAGCCTTTTTTATTTTTAGTGGCTCCTAGCATTTGAGTGTGCCAAGACCTGTCAGTGCCCCAAAGGGGAGGATCTCAGTCAGCAACTAGAGTCTTGCTGATTAGAAACTAGACCTTCAGGCAGCAGCTTTTAGAGTATGCAAATATTTATAGTCTTGTGGGACTGAAAGGTATGTCCCACTGGCCACCAGAACTGGGTGACCTAGAAGTGTCTCCTGCACAGTTGTTGCAAAAATCAGGGTGCCAGACAAGTGTACAAGCTCCATCCTGGGAGCTACCTGCACCCTGTCACGAGGCAGAGGGAGGTCACAAAGATGGCATCCACCAGCCTTTGTCCCTGGAGGGCACCTCAGTAGGTCCCTAGATGAGCCAAACCAGAAGCCTACCCCTCTTGCTGAAGCTCCAGGACAAGCAAATAGGCCTCTTTCACAGAAATACTGGGGGTATGATTCAGTTTGCTGTCTGCACAGTCCCCTGGGGATAGCAGCTGGCCAAGAATGATTTGTTTGTTATAGTCTCATGGGACCCAGGAATGCAAGCTCACTGGCCACTAGAGCCAGGAGATCAAGGGGTGTTCCCTGGGTGGCAGCTGCAAAAAACTGGGCATCAGACGTGTGTAAAAGCTCCCCTTGGGGTGATACTGGTGCTGTGGAGCACAGCAGAGGGAGAGCACAAAGATAGTGCCTGCCCTTCAAGGTCTCCCACCAACTTTCAAAATAAAGACTTTATGAGATAGAATTACATAATATTCACAAGGTTGTATAGTTTAGAACTATCTAATATTTTAGAACATGTTCATCACCCCTAAAAGAAACCCATACCTATTACCATTCACCCCCATTTCCTCCTCCACCCACCACAAACTTTCAAATCTAGTTCTGATGAAGAAAACTAAGATGCTATGTCCTGAAGAGGGTCATGTATTTAATGAAGTTTTACATAAGTACCTTTTGAAATGAAAAAAAGAATCTCCAAATGCCTCTTAGGCTTATGAGCTTAGAAGGAGGCAGGGAAACTATATCCCTACATTATCTAGCACAGCATCTGGCCCATAGTAAATGCTCAGTAAATACATGTGGAATTGAATGCTTGGCCACCTGAATTATCCGTGCATGGAACTCTATGAAAAAGACTTAACACTGGTGCCATATGTTAAATAACAATTGACTGACAATATTATAAGGTAATGACCTAGGCCTTTTAGTCTAATATTTATTGGGTACTTCCTCTACATTAGGCACATTTATTAACTTATTTAAGTCCTCACAACAACCCCATTAAGAAGATATTATTATTTCCCTGAGGTTAATAGCTTGCCCAGCTAGTAAATGGCAGAACCAGGACTGGAAGCCATTACCGAGCCTACATTCAGATCCCTTATACTCATCACTTCTTGCCCTTTAATAAGATATAAGCTCAGTGGCTCTCTCTTAAATCCCCTCTGCTGCTTACCTGTCTCCCTGTCTTTTTCGCAAATGAAGTTATTGATGTCCTCACACTGGAAGTCGTTCCACTGCCCAGCATAAATCAGCCCAGCACAGTCTTCTCCAGGCCCGTGGCCATGACCCCAGTTATCTGGCTGTCCAGCTTTCCAATTTCTTTTAAGAAAACAGAAATCAGATATTATTTGCAAAGCCACAGAGAAGTTTTCTTTACCCAAGAGCAGCAGAGAAATGTAAAAAACAAAACCAAGGCCTGTCATTTGTCCGGGAATGAAAATGCACTGTTTAAAAAGCTGTGCACACTCGGATTCAGAATAAGCAGCTGTTTTGCAGAGCGCTGTGTTATGCAGCATCTCCCTGCAGGCTTGTTATCATTGCCACAGTGCAATCAGCTCACTGAGCTGCTTCATCACGTTGCTGAGAGAGTAAATCTGTCTCCAACACAGTTAGATGAATGACAGCTTTCTAACGTGCACTGGAATGCTGACTGCTGGGCATGTGGGTGTATATCTGTGTGTGAATGTATATGCATTCTGAGGACCACACACACACACACACACACGCGCACACACACACACACACATTCTTGGAAGAACCCAGAGGGATCCTCGTACGTTCTGATATCTTGTCTCTAACAAGTCAGAGTCAGGCAGAGAGAGCGAAAGACGCTTGATATACACTTACAAGAACCTACAATTATAAACACTTGGTTATGGTTTTCTGGCTAAGTTGTAGATAGTTAATTGCTATAGAAAGAAACAGTAATTTATTCTTACTGAAAATGACTTATACATCTCACTGCCTTTTTTGGGAGAGAGATTAAAGTCTTTAAAACAAGTTTTCTTTAGGATGAGCTCATTTGGGGCTTAACTTGCATGCTGCTGCTCAAAGCACCCCTTTGCCAACGTTTCCTCTTCCTGACTCTATTTCCAAGCAATAAATTAGATGTGCTTCCAAGACTCAAAACTTGAAAGACTACGTTTTCTCTGAGAACCAGGTCTTTGCACAGAAGCTTGTGGTTACCTCCTAAGAGGACAAGCTTGCCTCGTGCGGAGGGTCCGAAAAAACATCTGCAGCAGGAAGTGCTTCCCATAAACGATGACTCATTACCCAACCAGCATCATCTAATAATAACTCACTCTGGTCCATGCTTCATGTTCGTATCAGAGTGGCTGCGGCTTTGGCCGCTAGAGAGAAATCTTCCACTGTACAGACCCTGATAGCAGGAGAAAGTTTTACAGCAAAGAAACACTTCTCACTACTAAGATTTTCCTTTTCTGAGGCCAGGCTCTTACCAGGGTCACCTGGGGACAGAGCCCATGTTGTCCTACTTCTTCCGACGACAAGACCAGCAAAAATCAGGGCGATGGGAAAGGAGAGTTGAAATTTACAGTTAAAGGATGTAACAAGGTAGCATGGACTCCCCCAAGCCAACTGTATATTTTGGGATATTTTATAAAATGAAATGAACTTAAATAAATCTAGTGATGAAGAGATAATTTAGATGAAACCATCAACTGATGAGAGTAAATGTGGGACGATACTCAGGTGGAAGTCAGAAATAGTCATTCGTTAACTCATTCATTCGACAGATATTCACAGAGCACCAACTATGTGCCAGGGATAAATAATGCTAGCTGATGGCAACACGGCACTGTGGAGAATAGAGTCCCAGCCCTCTCAGAAATTATATCACAGGCAAGAAACAAATGAGGTAAAACCCTCAGACTGTCACAGTGATGCCAGAAAGAGATGAAGTTGGAAGGAAACTTTCAGGCAAGCTTTTTGGTGTGTGTGTTTCCACCTCGAAGGACCCTCCCGGAAATGTCAACAATGCCTGGGCAGTTTGATGTTGTTGGTGTACACGTTGTTCATTTCTGTAGTTATACGAGGGGGTTCCCTTCCAATTTTGTTTATCAAATTTGAGATTGTGATTCTCGATGCATACTGACAGGACATTTAATATTCTTTATCTCCCAGTTAGTTGGGAATAAATAGGAATATTTATATAATAAATATAATAGGGTTTATTATAATATTATTTATTATATAATAAATAATAAATAGGAATAATAATAAATAAATAGGAATTCTGATAGAAGATCTGTTTAATATTTTCCCCTTGTATTTCCTTGCCCTTTTGAGTAGATAAAAGGGATTTACAGATGAGACAAAAAGAGAACTGCTTGATAAGAAAGGAGATTGTCTTTATCACCATCCTCCATTCGTTTTTTTCCAGGTCACTGGAATTCTTCACATGCAGTGCTTAAAGCAATCCTTCCGGACTAAAGGTAGAAGGTGGCTGTGAGTGGAGTGACTCAGGTGGGACCAGCATGGATGTGCGGTGGAGTAGCCTGAAGCCAGGCTGCAGGAGGAATTTGTCTCAAAGACTAAGTCTCACAGCATCTCTTTGGAAAAGCTAAAATCACATGGAATGATTTGTGGCAAATCCCCCCAGTCTGCATGTTTGTAATAGAGCAGAACGTGTCAGATAAATAGAATGTATATATTTTGGAGAAGAATTTCAGCTTAAATGTTTCCTAAACCTCATTCATAGGTAGATTCTGGAAAGAAGAATGGCTGAAACCTGGGCGCCAGATCCTTGAATGCCACATTATAACATACATGTCAGAGAAGTGGTTGGGTAGCAAGGTGTGTATGTACTTGGACACTGTATTTTGAGTACACTGGGGACCATGGAAGCATCGGGACTCCCTCTTCCAGGGAGCTGGAATCATTGCAAGCACCTCAGCCAGTGGGTGTGAAACACCCCCCAGGATTCTGGGTTTATACTAATGGAGGTAGAGCACAAACTCTCAATTTTGGGAACAGCCCCTTCCAACCCTCACAACTTAGTATTTCTCATCAACCACAAGATTGACTGAGCCTTCGTGGCCAAGAAACTTCTGCTGGTAAGAGCCTGGCCTCAAAACAGGAAAATCTTAGTAGTGAGAAGTGTTTCTTTGCTGTAGAATTTTCTCCCGCTATAGAGGTCTGAACAGTGGAAGATTTCTCTCTAGTGGCCAAAGCCAGTGCCACTGATACAAACATGAGGCATGACCAGAGCGAGTGAGTATTGAAGTAGATGATGCCAAAGGTTCCCTTCTGGTCCTTACCATTCTACGGTTCTATATTCTAAAAATGTAGTATATAATATTACGTGTAGCCATCTGTGTGGACAGAAGGGCAGCCCATGTTTTGTCTTTGCAGTGCAGAGATGAAAGCTGTTACTCGTAACTTGACAGCATGCTCCCGTTAAATGATATCCTGTGCAGGGGACCAAGAAATGGACAAGAGGAAGAGAGGAGCTTCAAGTGTGTTTTGGGAGACTCTCAGGAAGCACAGCATATCTCTGGTGATCTAAGGTGGGCAACTGCAAGGAGGGTGGGCAGGAAAGGCCTTCAAAGGCTCCCTTACATTTCTGCTTTGAGCAAGTGGGCAGAGTCTCCATCCCATGTGTGTTTGGCTGCCCCGTGCCTACCAGGCAGTCTCCATTGACAGTGATGACCTTTGCCAAATGACACACCGGCATTTATTCCATCAAGAGTAGAAAGACCAGCTTTGACATGCTCCTGATTTCACTGGTCTTCTCCCTGGTTTGTCTGTTTTCTATTTCATTGCTTTCCAGTCATTATTATTCCCTTCCTTTTGCTTGCTTTGGGATTAATTTGCATTTCTTCTTCTACCCTGATAAAGTAGAAGCTTAGGTCATTAATTTTCAACTTTAAAATATTTTTCTAATATAAGCATTTTAAATTTATAAATGCCCCTCTATATACTGTTTTAGCTTCATCTCACAGATTTTGATGTTATGTTTTCTTTGTCTTTGAAACATTTGCAAATTTCCTTTGTGATTTCTCCTTTGCCCCATGGGTTATTTAGAAGTGTGTCTTTAATTTCCAAATATTTGGTGATTTTACAGATATCTTTTTGTTATTGATTTCTAATTCAATTTTGTTTTGGTGAGAGAACATACACTACATAATTCCAGCGCTTTTAAATTTATGGAGACTTGTTTGATGACCCAGCCCATAGTTGATCTTGGTGAACATACCATACTCACTTGAAAAGAATGTGTATTTGTAGTTGTTGGGTGAAAAGTCCCATAAATATCAATGAAGTCAAGTTAGTTGATAGTGTCTGCTATATCCCTCTTGGTTTTTCTATCTCTTCAATACTTGTTCTATTAATTACTGAGAGGAGAGCATTGAAACCTCCTTTGAAGCCCCGCTCTTCACTGTATCCACATTTAGGGTCAGAGTGTCTGTCTTCTTGATTGTGACAGGGTCCTGGAAATCAGACTGTTTTTACATGAGTAGAAGAACAGTACCTCTCACTCGTATTGTGCCCCAAACTCCAGAAAAGATCCTCCAAACCAGCACAGAGGCTGGGTCATGGTGGACACTCCAGGATAATTCAGTGAATGTTATCATGGGACTGTGGGCCAGTGGATCCCAATGTCCAGTCAGAGGACTGGTGCTGGGCAAGAATGAAGTTCTCACAGGTCTGTGGTGAAAAGAGAAAAATGAGGACAACTCTGTGTGTATGTGTGATGGCCAACTGTCTTTTCTTGGTTTTATTCTTGTTGTTTTTGTGCTGAGATTTGTTGATAGGTGATTTTTTTTTTTTTTTTTTTGCCTGTGCTGTGTAGCATGTGGGATCCTAGTTCCCTGACCAGGGATCGAAGCCGTGCCCCCCTGCACTGGAAGTGTGGAGTCTTAACCACTGGACCGCCAGGGAAGTCCCCCTTGATAGGTGATTTTTAAAACCCACGTCCTTAGTTGGGCAACTAAAATCTTGGCAACATAAGTCAGCCCTCCAGTCTCTCTCTTGGAATTGTATTGGTGTGTGGACCCAAAGCATTTGGAAACCTGTCCTGGGGACCATCCTGAGACATCACAGATTGCTTCTCATGCCATCCTTTTCCCTAATCGTCATAAGATTTAGTGAGTCAGGTCGTATGTTTCATGGGAAATAAACCTCCGTTCAACTCCACGTGTGCCCTAAGCTTCTGGCATCCAATCCACATCACCGTAGCTTTTTGTCTGTTTATTCCAGCACTGTCTTTCTCAGCCAGCTCTCAGTATAAAAATGGAGTGGGGGCAAGAGGCAGAGGAGAGAACCTTTTATCCTTTGTCTGTTTCCTCTTTAACAGTCCCCTCAGCAGCCTGAAATAATTTCACAAGGGGTGTGTGTGCGCATGTTGGAGAAAAAGGATAAGAGTAAAGTAGGGAGACTGACTTCTTCTGTAGCCTGCACAAAGTACGGGGAGGTGCCAGGTCCAGAAACCACTGTGGGTGGCAGGGGAAAGGGAAGTGGATGGACCAGGCTTGGAGGCCACAGAAGCAAAGAGGAGGAGGGTACAGGTGAGTCTGAGTCGATGGAGAGGTACTTGGGGAGCTGTATCGTGTTGGGAGACCCCTGAGAGCCTAGAGCCCCATCCCCAGGCCACGGCAGGGAACATTCTTCTTGTCTTCACAAACCTGTCGTGTGTGTGCCATCTCCTTCAGGACATGGTATAATCCATAACTGCTAGGAAGTGTTATCCTGCGATTAGTGACTAGTATGAAAATGATGACAGTGATGACAATAGGAGTAATAATTCTTGAGCACTTCCCATGGGCGCAATGTCCTCAATGCTTGATATATATTATCTCATTTAATTTTCACAATACTGACATCGGTCCTTCTGGAATCTTCATTTCTAGATGAGGGCATGGAGATTCCACACAGTTGAGTAACTTGCACAAGGTCACGAGCTGTTGAGTGCTGAGTCCGGACCTGGAACCCACACCTTATTGACTCTAGGGCAGGTACTCTCTCCCCTCGCTACACTAGCTCTTTTTCTAGTTTGTGCTGTGTTTATTATTCTATGTCAAGTTAAATGAGCCTTCGGCTATTGAGGCCTCATAATATGTCTGCCTAATTTATTCTTGCTTTTAAAATGTGATCCCGAGGACAAAGTGAGAGAATGGCATGGACATATATACACTACCAAACGTAAAATAGGTAGCTAGTGGGAAGCAGCCACATAGCACAGGGAGATCAGCTCGGTGCTTTGTGACCACCTAGAGGGGTGGGATAGGGAGGGTGGGAGGGAGACGCAAGAGGGAGGGGATATGGGGATGTATGTATATGTATAGGTGATTCACTTTGTTATAGAGCAGAAACTAACACACCATTCTAAAGCAATTATACTCCAGTAAAGATGTTAAAAAAAAAAAAATGTGATCCTAGGGTTTTTTACATGTCTATGTATTCCTTTGGGTGGAAAACTAGAAGCACTGTCTGGGCTGTGGCTGGGAACAGAGCTCCCAGGAAGGTGTCTGGGGATGTGAGCCTTCTCAGGTCCCAGGTACCAATTCTGGCGCTCTCCTCCCAAATCACATAATTCCTGCTGCAGCCTGGGAGAGACGAGGAAACTTCCACTTTGGGAGAGCTGGCATAGGCCGTACTGTTCTGTTCCCTCTCAATCCATTCCATGTGGGCCAATCCAGTTTTTGCTTATAGGAGAGCTTCAGATTGAATTTCTTAGTGAGTCTAACCCAGACCTTTTTCGTATTTATGGTTGTGAGAAAAGTGGAGGGGACTGAGGTTTTTTGTTTTTTTTTTTTCCAGCTCCCCACTGACTCCCTTAAAAAAAAAAATGATCCTGGCACTCTAGACTGTCAGTCACAAATTTCTCTTTCCCTTAGTAGTCTCTGCCTTCCGTGCCCCCCTCCCACTGGTCCGATTTTAGGTGACAACTCTCACAACTGTGTTGACTCTCCTGAAGCAGATCTCTGCTGTGCTGGATGCCCTCCTCGGGCTGGCGGCCAAATTCCCGAGTGCCAGGGTGTGGTGTGGCTTCATCTCCCCAAGGACAGGTGCGCAGGGAGCAGACAGGATGTCTGCTGAGCCAGGAGGCAGATATCCATTTGCCCTGGGGGCAGTCTGGGGCAGTTCGGAGCAGACCTAAAATCTTCAAACTTTCCACCTTGAAGTTTGGTCGTTCTTTTAAAAGAAATGGCCTTCGCCAGCCCCCACCCAGAACTCCCTTGTGGTAGGATGAACCTAGCTATGGACCCAAAATTTCCAGTGTGCGCTCCAGCACAGCACTTGTGATGGGCTGCAGGAGCAAAAACATATATTGTCAGGACTTCCCTGGTGGTCCAGTGGTAAACAGTCTGCCTGCCAATGCAGGGGACACAGGTTTGATCCCTGGTCAGGGAACTAAGATCCCACATGCCACGGGGCAACTAAGCCCGTGCGCCACAACTACTGAGCTCGCACACCTCAGCTAGAGAGCCCGCATGCCACAACTATGGAGCCCGTGTGTTCTGGAGCCCACGCACCACAACTAGAGAGAGAAAAGAAACCTGCACGCCACAACTAGAGAGAAGCCTGCGCCACACAACAAAGAGCCTGCGTGCCACAATGAAAGATCCCGAGAACCTGCATACCGCAACTACAACCCGCAGCCAAAATAAAAAATAAACATATACTGTCTTTCTCTAAGTACAGTTTCTAAACACTCCCCCCAAACCCCCCACAATGGTAAGATCATAGACCCAGTGCCTGGCTATGTGACCCCACCTCGGGGGTCAGGTCCATTCTAGGCTGATCATTTCCACCTCTCCCATGGGGGTGATAAGGGTCACATGGAATGAGTCTAGGATTGTGCTGAAAACTGAATTCCCATATTTACACATCTGTGTTCATAGCAGCATTATTCACAGTAGCCAAAAGTTGGAAGCAACCCACATGTCCATCCATGGATGAATGGATAAACAAACTGTGGTCCATCCATACAATAGAGTATTAGTGAGCCTTAAAGAGGAAAGAAATTCTGACACGTGCTACAGCATGGATGAACCATGAAGACATTATGCTCAGTCAAATAAGCCAGTTACAAAAGGACAAATACTGAATGATTCCACATACATGAGTGACTTAAAGGAGTCAAATTCATAGAGACAGAAAGTAGAAGGGTAGGTACTACAGGCTGGGGGGAATAGAGAGTTATTATTTAACGTGGACAGGGTTTCAGTTTGGGAAGATGAAAAAATTCTGCAGATGGATGGTGGTGAAGTTTACACAACAATGTAAATGTAGTTGATGCTGGAATCTACACTTAAAAATGGTTTAAATGGTAATTGTTATGTTATATATATTTTACCACGATTTTTAAGTAAAAGGTTTTTTAAAAAAATAAAATAAATGGCCTTATTCTGGTTTCCACCTATATCCTCTAATCATGCTTTTCACGTGGAGGATTTAAAAGTATAAAGAAGCCTGTCTGTCTACCCCCATGCACAGACATGCACAGGAACTCTATCTGGCCCCTCCATCCCCTCTAACCCCTGTTCCCTGTCCTTGACCTCTACTGCTCCAGCCCCGAAGCCCGTGACGCTGTCTTGGACCTGAAATACCCTCACTTTCTCCTCTCCTGGTGCCAAGGATGCTGTGGCTTCTCCATGCTCGGGACATGGTCCTGAAGCCGAGATGCCCACATGCCTGCTTGAACCTCTGCGGGGCCTGCCTTCTCTGTCTCCAGCAAAGGAAAGGTGGGTTTTTATAAATTCTGCTCCATTTGGTACAGTGTGTGTCGCATATTTTCACATCCATTAGAGGCAAAGCAGGAGTAGGATAAAGAGGTGAAATTTAAATGGGCACAATTTAGTCCTCTTCAGACCATGGGGTAGGATTAGGGCAGGAGTGGACACGGGGGTCGGATGAGGCTCATCGAGATGTCTGTGCCCCTAGGAGCTCCGAGAAGGTTCTGTGAAGTGCTTCCCTTCTCTGTTGCTGCCTTTATAGAACTCAGGTCACATCGGACTTAGAGAAACTCTTCAAGCCTGCAGGACACGGTCATCCCACAAACGCCTTCATTTGTGGTGTACTTGAACTTTCTGTGTGTAGGGCAGTCATCAACCTGTAGTTCATCCCCACACTCTGGCCAGAAGCACAGAGGGGGTCAGGGCGTCGATGGCGTCATCCTGAAGGGAGTGCCCGGCTCTGATCAGAAACATGGCTGGTGAGCTCGGACCATGCTGGGAAGCCTGGGGCTTCTTTGGCCTTCACGGCAGCATTTAAAGAGCACGCTCGGCCACAAGTGCCATCCTGGGTGGTTTTATGGGTCTGGTGGTTTATTTTGTTTGTTGTTTTGTTTGTTTTTGTAGAAATGAAAAAAAATTCACTCCATGAAAAGAAAAAAGAAAACCCCTATTTTTACAGCATATTGATTCTCAACCATAATTTCCCTACATGGAAATAAACATGCAGCTGGTACCTGGAGCCTCAGTTTGAGGAACGTGTAGGACACAAGGTCGTTCAGGAAGAAACTGTAGGAAGTCAGTCTGGCAAGAGGTGAAAACATAGACCAGTGAGAGCCTGACCAGCAATCTGGAAGTTTCTGAGACTCACTTATACTCTAGAGATGTCCCATCCAGCCACTTCCATTCGTTTTCCTGCTCTGAGTCTGTGAGGCCGATCCAGTAGTTCTCTCTCCCTACCATCTGCTTTTTGATCCATTGCTGAAAAATAAATCAGAAACGGTACATTACTATTT